AAACTTTGGGTGTCCATGTTTGTCATTCACTATTTATATCAATCTATAGCTTTATATTCTATTAACGAGTTTGATTTGCCTTTTTTCCTAGTATCCACTTAAATAAATGTTGGTTTGGGCATGTGATTTTTGTTCCCTTTTCTATTACTTCTTTTTTATCCAGAACTGGAGAATGTTATCGAACTAACAATAAGTTCTACAGTGACCACTTGATTGCTTTTATAACCCTTTATTTTGCTATGTATATCCAATAATTGCTAAAAATAGTTTTTAATATCTTATAGCTATCATACTCCAATAACACCCTCTAAGTGCGATGTGACATTAGAAATATTTTAAAGGGTCTACTAATCAGAATTTATTCTATTTTGCCTGCTAACTAATTCTACTTGCTATATTTCTAGATCTTATTTATGTTATACCTAGATGATTCTAGTAAGCCGCCAAGTACTTGAAATACGGCTATAAATATCATGATTCTTGTAAAGTAAGCTGTCAGGTGCTTGGAATAAGGCTATGTTAATGATGTTGCTGTTAATTCTAAGAACCTAAAGACATGCACTGATAGCATTGCAATTTATTTGTTAATATCTCGTAAATATGCACGTTGCATAATAACTTTGATTGGACGCCTATTCCAACAATTCAAATTTCTTCAGTTTGGGTTCTGATGGTCTATTTACAGTACCTTGAGGCGAAACAGTTAAAGCTTTTCATATTTGCCACTTGTCTGATAGGAACTCCTTGAAGCCTTTACATCAACCATTTTTGTGCATGGTTGATATCTAGTGATTTGTAGGCTCGCAAATAATGGGTAGTGATATTGAAAGTTTGGGCATTTCTAGGATTTGATCTTCTTTGCCGAGGTACATTCGTAAGCTTCGCTTTGTTTACATTTGTCAATGTTTAATGACCATGTTTCTAATCTTCTAGGCAAACTTACCTTTTAATTACTGCTATTTATTTGTAAATATACTTCTCCTAAGACCATCAAAAACATCTCTGTCAAACTACATGCTCTGTGAAAGCTTTATCAGATAGGGGTTTATGGTCCTTGCAGATCTTGGAATCGGCTGATTATGCTGAATATCCAGAACTTATACAAATTTTGAGTTTGAGTTTTCATGCTTATATTTGTGGGTTCAGCAGAATGAGTTAGAAAGTCGCATAAAAATGCAAAGCAAGATTCAGTAATTTTAATGCCATTTGAAAACGAGATAGGTCAGTTATAAGTTGTATTTGACATTGGGCTAGTTAAATTTCAGGTTTTACTTGTTTGCTAAATTTCTAAGTTATTGCCTAACTGAGCCAGTATTTCTAAGTGTTTGATGGTCTATCTTTATAGTATGCTGCAGAATGCTTTATAAGATCTCATTTTTATTTGACAGCTTTTATAAGGATAGCTAGGTTAAAAAATAGTTTTAGCTCTAGATTATTGGCTCGCATTTGTGCAGAAAATTCAAGCTGTTAATGACATAATTTTCTAATTATTATTAATTTTTTATCATTCACTAATCCGGTAATAGAACTTAAATATAGGACGAGTAGACAAATTTTTTGGATATTAGATTTTTCTTAATTCATGCTACATAGACCAGTACCCCTGATAACAAGGATAGCTTCTTAGGCTTATCAAGCATGGAGAACTAAGTTAGTAGGTTTTACCTGTCAACCTGTAACATTAAGTTCTTGGAAGATTTACATACATGGCACTCAATTCCAAATTGTTTACATATCTGACACCTAAATTCAATTTTTAGATGCATGCCACATTATCTATGCATGAAAAGGTGTATTTCACTTTCTATAAGTTAAAATAGTGGTATTTTTAATGTTATATGAAAGATTTGGGTGTTGTAATTGTAAAAAGTAAAGTTTAGGTGTTAGATATGTAATTACATAGGTATTGGGTGGCATATAAGTAGATGCCCCTAAGATTTTAGTTTATGTGAAATGTTGACAAATGTATGTTGAATGCGATGTTTATCACCCATGTATTGATATATTGTACCTACCGAGGCTCTAAAAAATGCTCGTTGTTCGTGACCAACTTGTATTCAACTCGTTAAGTAGCTCGTGCTCAATTCATTTGCTAAGATGACGAGCCAAACATGCTCAATAAATTTTTGTTCGATTTTATTCGACTTGTTTTGAATCAAATTAATTAAATAATAAATATATAATTTTGTTATAATATTTTTGTATTAAATTTTTATATTTTATTTTAAAAAAAATGTTAAACTTTATTATGTTTTTAACAATTTAAACTAATTTTGAGCCAACTAAGAGATGAAGCGAACAAATAAATTGGAATCGAGCCGAACATGAACATACTATTCACGGCCTATTCCAAGCAAAAGAAATTTTGAACGAGGCGAACATGGACAAATATCGAACTCGATCAAGTTCGACTATAGGGTAGTAAATGAATCAATGCACTCGATGAACAACTCGAAACCAACTTGGTTAATACTCGATCGTGTTTCTTTAAATTAATAAATAAACAAATTCAAGCATTTTTTTTAAGCTCAATGGTAAAATGAACTAAACATTGCCATGATCTAACTTGTTTTTATATGTTCATGAACAAACTCGTTTGTTGTTTAACTAGTAACTTATTAAATGTTTAATATTAAGTTTGATGATAACTCATATTGTACCTGATATATTATTTAAATAAAATTTGATTCATTATGATTTTTTTCAATTATATATTTAATAATAATATATTATTATATTAATATTATATTAGGATTAATTAATATATTATATATTCCTTGTTTACTTATTACTTATATTTTTTTTATTTAATATATATATGTATTAATTAACCCAATTTACTAATTATTACCTCATTATCAGCATATTCAATCCATCATACTTTTTAACATTAATTAATTAGCTAATCATTATATACATTTATTAATCATATAGTTTACATTAACCATATAATATTATGTATCTTTAATCTTTTTTCTTAGTAGCCTCAGCTTCAGGCTTTTAGCTCGTCTTCTCTTTCCACAACTCGGCCTTGTTCATGCCATTTCCCCCAATTCATAGTTTCTCAAAATCACCTTTTGCCTCTATTCAAGTTACAAATAATATAAGTGATTTAAAATTAATACATTTGTTATTAAAATATTTTATTTTTTAATTTATGTGAAATAATTAGATAGAAATTCAAAATTTATTCGGTTACTTATTTATTTAGATTTTTAAAAAAGTTTTTATGGGACTCAGATACTCGTTCGAATTTTTGGCTTGTTTATTTACTCATTCATTTGACATAAATAAATCAAGTATTAAAAAAATTAAACATATTAATCTCCAACATACGTGTGAAAGCTCAGCTCAAGCACGAGCCGAACATGAATAACTTAAAATATTATCAATCCAAATTCAATCTATGATACTCAGCTCAACTCGACTCGATTACAAGCCAAGTTCAATCTAAGATACTCGGCTCTAATCGACTCGATTGCTGCTCGTTTACACCCGTGGTCCCCACTTCAACAACCTGAGAAAATTTCTCTCTTTTGGCATTTGTCATGTTAACATATGCGTGCTATTTTTTCCTCCTGATTTTATTCATCCGTCTCGAATCTTTTAAGAAGCAATTAATCTGAGCCTCAGTTCAGTTTTCAACTTATATTGCTTGAAACGTTTTGTAATGATGCTCCTATTAAACGGAAGGTCATTTGTTAACCTGAAGCTTGCGTCTCATCATAAATAGCATGGCTTTTAATTGGCACCAGTTTCTACGAATAGCCAGCTCCATTCTTTCGGGCTCAAAATTTTGATTTTGAGTTTTTTTTTTTTTTTTGGGTATAAAACTCATCAACCCTAGACATTAATTACCAGTTTGCAAACGTTTGAGATAGAATTTACCACTAAGCCGTCATCCAGTTTTTACTTTGCCATGTGATCATTCTGTTGATGGTTTTTCAGTTAGATTTCAATGCAGTCTTGTTTTACTTTAATCAATGTTGTAAGGGTCTGTTTGTGATCAGTATTGTTTTTTGTTTTTCATTTATTTATTTTAATTTTGTCTAATTTATGATTTGATTCGAATTAAAACATATGTTGTTATCGTTATTGTTTTTAAAAACACTGAAAACACTTTATGTTTTTAACAGGTTTAAAAGCAAAAAAACTAAACCACGTAAAAAGCATACTAAGGAGACAATTTTAAAAATAAAAACAAAAACAAAAGTGATGCCAACTGACCCTTAGTAATTGTAACCTCCATCTTTCCGGATATCTGTTCTCAAGGTTACTGCTGATTAATGGGAAGATACTGGGTGTTATGATAGCAGTAAACTTTTGACTAACCTCAGCTTTGACGTAGTATATTTTAAGGAGTGTTTTTAGTACATTGCAGACCTAGCAAGATTTTTGAAGGTAGTTATTGAAAGTCTTGTAGGAAAAGAAAAAAAGAACCTTGATGTCCTTGAGCTGACTTGCTTATGTTTGGCTGATTTTTTTCATTTAGAATCAAGAATCCAGATAAAATGCAGAAGAGGCTTTTGGAGCACTCTGTTGTTGGCTTGGTTAATCAATCAAGTTTATCCTTTTCCATGCAAATATTGATTTGAATGTATTTGTTGGTTGATTATATTGCAGAATTTTCAATAAAACTTATGATAGCTTATATTCTCAGTTAAAAAACATGAAGATATCTCATTGGGTAATTTCTAGGATATTGCAAGTAGACATGGTAATGAACTCCAGCCTGTCGAATAGAGTGAAATTTTTTGGACTTTTCCTTCCATACATTTATGATTAATTTATTTCAAGAAATTTGTTTGGTGGTATACTGGAGGACTTGAATTATCCTTCAGACTTCTTTTTTCTGCTCCGGTTCCCTTTATTTTACATCTTTATAAACATTTTAATCAAATTTTGTATTTATTATATGGGTTACATTTGTGTTTTGTTTCTTGTTAATAGATTTTTTATGTTGCATTATTGGTGCTCTACGTAAATTTTATTTTTTAACACAGGCCAATTCATCTCCATGCGAATCACCTGAGAGAATAAACATGTTAAAATCGGAGTTAGCCTCACTAACAGGGAAGAATGCAGAATTGAAAAAACAAGTCAGGGAACTAGCATCAAAGCTCCAGTTAGCTGAACAAGGAAAAGATCAGGCCCAAAAGCAGTTTCTAACTCTAGGAACCCAACATAAAGCCGGTCCTTTCGGCACAGTCAAAGCTTTAAGAACTAACCCATCAGTTCTCTCTGATGAATCCGTTAACCCACAGTTAGCAATTATACTCGAGAAGATTGCCATCAAGAAAGAAATAATAGTCGCATTGGCTAACTCGAATGTACGAGAAATGCTCGAAGTTTGGTTTCAAAACATCAAAAGAGTCGGCATATCAAACTATATCGTCGTAGCACTGGATGATGAAACGGAGCATTTCTGCAAATCAAAAGATGTTCCAGTTTATCGAAGGCCTCCGGATGAAAATGTGGACTCCATTGGAAAGACCGGCGGCAACCATGCCGTTTCTGGGCTCAAATTCCATATTTTAAGAGAATTTTTGCAGCTTGGTTACAGTGTCCTTCTCTCAGATATTGATATAGTTTATTTGCAAAATCCTTTTGATCATCTTTATAGGGATTCTGATGTTGAATCAATGAGTGATGGTCACGACAACATGACGGCTTATGGATTTAACGATGTTTTTGACGAGCCAACGATGGGTTGGGCGAGATATGCTCATACAATTCGTATTTGGGTGTACAATTCGGGTTTCTTTTTTATAAGACCGACACTTCCAGCCATCGAGTTGTTGGACCGTGTGGCAAACCGGCTGTCTCATGAACCAAAATCGTGGGACCAAGCCGTGTTTAACGAGGAACTCTTTTATCCATCCCACCCTGGATATGATGGCCTCCATGCTGCCAAGCGAACCATGGATATGTATCTCTTTATGAATAGCAAAGTTCTCTTCAAAACTGTGAGGAAAGATGCTCAGCTCAGGAAGTTGAAGCCAGTTATCATACATGTGAATTACCATCCTGATAAACTTCCAAGAATGAAGGCCATTGTTGAGTTCTATGTGAATGGAAAACAAAATGCTTTGGATCATTTTCCGGATGGTTCGGATTGATGAAACTTTTTGTAACATAAAGTTGCAGACAGGTTGGAGCTCACAGCTATCAAATGTAAGCGATGTATTTCTGCTTTTGAATTTAAGAGTTTTAGTCTTTTTGCTCTTATTATTTTGACTTTTTTTCTTGGAGATAAACTGACAAATTAGCTAGCTCTATCTTCTTGGATTGTCTATGTTGTGAACATGGCTTATTTTTCTCAGTTTGTTTTAAAATCTGTAACTTTTTTATCTTTAATTTAAAAAAATGTCAAAATAGTTCTCTGATTTTTGCAGGAGGGTCATTTTAGTCTTGGAGTTTATAAAATTGTTAATTTAGTCTCTAGATTTTCTTAATATGGACTAAACTAGCTCATAGATTCTTTAATGGGAGGTTTTTTTTAGGCTGCTTTTAAAAAATCGGATTAAGTTGAAACTTTTATTGACTTTAGGATTAAAATGATCCCATGTTGATAGTCAGTTGATTTTTTGGGTGCTCTATTCATTTTTAATTTACTCTGATATGTGAGCTGCTTTTATCCTGATTTAAACCATACTAATTGTTGAAACTATGCTGCTAACCAAGATTAGTTTACTCTATGCGCATTCAGAACTCTTTATTAACACTTAATATGCAGAATCCATACTGTTCAAATTTTTGGATCAAGAGGGAAATTTTGATAAATTCCTATGTCTTTAAATTATGTAACACCTAAAGTTTGTTATTTACATACATAACCCACACAAGTCCTGCATCTTTACATTATGTAACACCTGATGTTTGATATATATATACACAGCCATGCAATTCCTATGTCTTTACACTAGGTAACACCTAAGGTTTGATATTTGCATATATAACACTTGGTGTCAGAAGTATATTATGTCACATTTAAAAGTTAATAACAGTGATATTCTTGATGTAATATTAAAGATTTGAGTGTAAATGAAAGTTTAGCTATGAGATATGTAAATACATAAGAATTTATGGTATGCATGTAAATGCCCCTAACTCTTATTGCTAACACATGATATGAAAAACCTATAACAATTAAATGCCAGGTACCTGTATGCTTCATATGTGATTTTCTTGTATTTCGTCCAATTTCAACGCCATGATCATGAATGATCAACTATGAATCTACTTGCTGAATTTTATGAGCTTTAAACGTCATTCCGATGAGAATGTGATGAAAATGATAGAAAATAACACGACGAACTTTTATGAAATATTGGATTCGAGTAGAATTGCTCACATGAAGACACTATGAGATAACATACTAATTATACTAATATATCAAGCATGAATTATTCTACATTTAAATTAGTTACCAATCACTGCCGGTGTCACCATTTGCCACATATCTTACCCTCATTTCACAAACTCGAACAATAATCATAAGTTAAATAATATGAATGAGATTACTTTATGATAACAACTTTAGGTATAATGAATTTTAGGGAAATTTACATACACACCACACAATTCTTATATGTTAACTTATTTAATATCCAAAGTTTTATAGTTACATATATGATACCATTATATCTAGAAAAGATATAATGGTGATATGGATGTGTCATTTGTTTTGGAGCAAGATAAGAATTGTGAGATCTTAGAGAACCTATCTACAACAATAAATATACTCGTGATCCCGAGGTGTCTTGGGGAAACCTAAAACAAAATCTGTAGATATGTCTTCCCAATCCCTACGAGGAATAGTCAAAGGTGTATGGTTTACCTAACTTATATGAAATGATTATGTTTGAGGTTTAGTTTTGAGATTTGCTATAATAATGATTTACATACATCAATTATTAGCTTATGGGTCCGTTTTGGGCAGCTTGTGCGTTTCAGGATAAGCCGCTTATCCTGAAACGCGGCCCGCGGGCCAGCCGCGGGGGTTGACCCGCAGCCTGCGTTTAGTGTAAAAACCCAAACACAGTTTCAGATAAGCTGACGAAACGCGCTAACCAAACGGTACGGCGACATTTTGAAAACGCCGCCCGCACTTATAAGCTGCCCCAAATGGACCCTAAGATGCGACGCGTTTGAATTAATATATCACTCCTCCCTTTGGTTTCTTTTCCCTCATTTTCCTATGTAGAGACAGAAACAAGATGTAGGTCCTATGATGCAAGACATGTCTATGATCTACTTGTGAGAATGTCGTGACATGGTTGTGAGACAGTTCTTAAATAGATGAGGATACATACCTGTCCTTGAATGATGTCATTCATGCTGGTGGTTTGTGAATCTCAAGGAACAAGTATGAAGGACTCGGGAACTAACTTCGGTGAGTGAGTTAGGCGGGTTGTTTCATCAAGTAAGTTTGGAATGTCACTTTAGCAGGTGAGCTTGATAGGTTTCTTCAGCAAGTGAGTTCGGCGGGCGGAGTTAATCAAGTTTTTTTTGTCAACAAAAATTGGTTTCGTAGGCTCATGAAATCTGTCAACTTATGCTCGAGTTCATGAGAACTAATGAGTATACAATAGTGGTGCTTTTTGAAGCTCCTATTAGGATGTTATATAATTAAGATGTAGGATACCTCACAGCTACTTTAGAATTCTTGCTTTCTTTTATACAATGATATAAGTTTGACACATGCTAGAAAATATAATCGTGCATTTGAATGAGCAAAAGTTATCTTTTAATAATAAATATTATTCATATTGAAACGTTAAAATTTATACATGAATTTTCATGTATTTATGTGCAGGAAGCTTCATGTTTCATGAAACTTTAGCATGATTCATGATGTATATTACAAATCTTATTTTTAATTTTTATGATGAGATATAAAAGCAAGGAATTTGCTATTTACATACATGGAATATTATTAATTGTATATGTTATGCAAAGCGAATGATGATATATTTAGAGTATTATGATGTTATTGATGGAATACAAAGTATTCTACATGACTTGATATGAACATAAAATTATATTATAATAGACATACAAGTTTTAATCTGAATTGCATAAAGTATGTTGTTTAATCTTGAGGTTCTAAGGCCATTTCATAAAAAAATGATAATAATTGTTATTCTACATAAGAATATATGTAAGATTATCAATATAAATGATATAAATTATTTGTGCATTAGAGAGTGGTTATACATCAATGATTGAAAGAGGTGCAAGTGGAGATATTTTTAGGAAATCTCTAGTGAGAGTTGAAGAAAACTAATATTACATCCGAACATTTGTAGCGTGGATCAAATCATACTTCTTGCACATCGGCTTTGTGCTATCCACGTTGTCGTCCGTATGTAATATTTTATCTATTAAAAGATGATGCAGATTACGATAGCTAACAACCAAGATAAACATTAGGATAATGTTGCTCTAAACGTTGGACAAGACCTATTGTAATTCTATAACTATAGAATGACATGAAATGAAATGAAATGTATAAAATGAAAGATAACCTTCTAAATCTATTGTATATCATATGAAATGAAATGTCGCATATTTATGTTGAGAATATGTAAATGAATAAGCATGTTGAAATGAGATAAAATTACTTCGTGGAAATTATTTCAACTAGGGCCAGTCACATACATAACATCAATTCCTACAAATTCACATATCCAACATCTAAACTTCATTATTTATTTTTGTACCGCCTAATTTTTTGTGGCACATTAATAAATTCAATATTTTAACTTGCATTGTGTTACTATGGAAGGAATTTGAAAATTCAATTGTTTGATTTGAATAATTTGAAATTCAATGTATATTAACAATGTACTCGAAATCTAGCCCTTAGTTGACTTTCTCTATATTTGAAATTCATTTAGCGGTGTGAGTCAAGTAGACTCGTGAGTCAGCTCAAGCTCAGCTTGATAAGTGACTCGTGAATTGAGCTCATGAGCTAACAAGCCAAGCTCAAGGTAGCCTCAACTCTAAATGTTAGCTTGTGAGCCCTTTCATTTACAAAAATATTAATATAAAATATATTAAATTTGAAGGCTTTATCTTTAAAATATTAAAAAATGATAAAAAAAAAAATTTTTATCTTATATTTAGTGATTTCTTATTATTTCTCTCCTAATTTCTCAAATTTTTTTTGTCATTTTATTCTAGAACTATCTTATATTAATATTATTATTTTTATTTTATAATAAATAAGACCCGGCTCGACGTAGACCTATGCTCGAGCTTGAACTCTATAAAATTAATCAAGTTCAAGCTCAAGTTGAGGGTGGCTTAAGATTGACTGCAGCCACAGAATGAATAAGGTAATACTTGTGTAAATCTTGAAATTTAGGTATAGATATGCAGATATGCATAAATTGAGTGGCACATATGTAAATCTTAAAAGAAAATATTCGACACGTACCAAAATCTGATTGGCCAAATGGCCAACACATGCCAAAATGTGAAGTATGATAAACGTCCTAAGAAATTAAGGCAATTTTTTTAAATACATTTTAAGTAAATCGTGCAAGCAATGCATTCAGAAGGTCACAAAAACAAGTCATCTGAACCATATAACTAATCAAAAATATTAATATAATAATGCTAAAAAAATAAAAGAGCATTTACATATATAACACACAATTCTTATATATTTTTATATTTAACACCTTGCTTTCATCATTTACATACACAACACTCAAATACTTAATATCACATAAAAATATCACTATTACAAATTAAAAATTAAAATAAAATTTATTAAAAATTTAAAATAAAAAATACAATGATTACTCCCCGGCCAGCTTACAAAGCCAAATTAATTAGCCAGGAATAGGAGGAGGAAGAAGATGACTCTGCAAGTAAAGCAGAGCCTCACGCAAGCCAACGTATCTACACCCATCTCTCGTCATTAACCCCAAGCTCACATTTTTCACCCTCCTCCCCTCGCCGGAAAACACCAGCCCCGCTTCCGCCACCATCCCGCCTCTCTCCATCGCCGCCGCGCAGCACTTCAACCCATCAAGCTCTTGTTCGAACCACAGCCCTGTATCTCCCACGTCCCTCCCCTTCCCGTTAACTCCCATCATCATGAAAGCTCCTCCCCATCCCTTCCTCACCACCATCCAAACCAACCTCACTTCCTCCTCCTTCTCCACGTCCGCCGCCGCAGAGACGTCGATGCCGAAATGGAAAACGTTCTGGCATTCTTGCTCGAGGTCTTCCCCTGCTAATGCGGTGGAAAACAGGGGAGTGGTGAGGTTGGGGAGGGAGATGTCGAGGGTGAAGAGGAGGTGGTGGAGAGAAAGGAAAGGGGAGGGAGGAGGGAGAGGGGGGAGGCGGCGGGAGGCCAGGTGGAGGAGGGAGAAGAGGAGGTGAGGGGGAGGGGGAGGGGAGAGGGAGAGGAGGTGGGAGGATGAAGGGAAGAGAGAGAGGCAGAGAGGAAGCCAGAGGTTTGGAGAAGACATGGCAGCGCGCCATGATTTGGAGACGCAGGAGGCGGCGGCGAGGGTGGAGGGATTTAGGTGGTGGGAAACTAAAACGACTACTTCCCATGGAGGCGGCTGCCCCGGCGGCGGTGGTTCTCGGCAGCGCATCTCTCTGTTTTCTTCCCCTGTTTTCCTTGGGGAGACGATTATATAGAGAGGAAGTGGTGGTTGTCACACGTGTCGGGAACAAGCAAGGTGTGGCGCACGGAAGTTGCCACGTGAATCCACACAGAAGGCGCGGGGTGCGATTGCGGCTTGGATCATTGTTTTTTTCCAAAACTATTAAATTATTTACATATTTAACATTTAAAATTTTATATTTCCATTCATTTTTTATGCAATAATATTACTATCATCAGAATGCACCGTAAACTTTTAATATTAAAATTTATGTGAGATGTAAATACTTGAAGATTAAAGAGTTGCGTGGTATGTATATATTAAAATTTTCTATTTTATAATCAAAATGTGAAGGCCACACGAAGCTTTATTAAGAAATATAAATGTTGGAACGCGCCATAAAAGCAATTAAGCTGAAGTATATGCATCGATCGAAGCTCTGTTTGAGGCAGCTGCAGCTTCTTAGCTTTTTAGTTGCAGCTGCGCTGTCTTAAAAAGCTGCTGCTGGGAAGCTGGTTGTCTATTTGGTGCAGCTGTGTCAAACCAACAATCGGACAGCTGTTTGTGGAAAAAAGAGCATACCGCCCATGTTTGGTAAAACTGTTGAAAAGAAGCGTATAACAATCATAATTTTAGAACTTCAGTAAAGCCCCAGTGTTAACAACTTCTGTGAATAAAAACACATATGCAACACAATCTTATATATTTACATATCTAACACATAAACTTTAAAGTTTTACGAATATTTGCATATTACTTTGGAGGCCTTACGAAATAATTGGGTCGCATAATAAAATGCAATAGTAAACAACAGACAAATATTACATTAAAAATATAATATTATTTCAGATATTTCAAAAACAAGATAAAAGAAAAGTTTACATTAATTAAAACAAAAAAGAGCATATTAAGCACAATTTTTATGTATTTACATATCTTCAAATGAAGAGGCTGGATAAATGATAGACACCTCCAACGATGGAAACACATAAACCTTGTCATTCATTTTGCAAAGCTCACACCCTTGTCTGATAACATGGATGTCTACGGATTGCCTGAGGAGTAAGAAGCTCCTCACAAGTCCATCATCGATGCCTTGGCCATTCAAAAAAAATAATAAATTGATATTCTAAATATTTTTCTTCTTTTCGCCAAATGATTATTCACAGCAATCAGAATTAATAGCAACAGAGATGCTTAAAATTTTATTTATAATAAATAGAAGCTCTTGAAGTAGAGGAGATACGAGAGGTAAAAGCTTCAGCAGCCAAGAAGGAAAGACAATAATAGCAGCATCAACAATACCTTCTTCTACAAACTCAACACTTATTTTCACAGCAAATTGGTGCATTTTCTCTTAATCAAGTCTCGTAGGCCACAAGTTTCAGCAAATCCAAACTAAGTTGGACGTCCAGGGCATGGAGCTAGACGTCAGGGCATGGAAGCTCATGGTAATGCATTTAGAAGAAACATTGAAACTTCCTCCAATTCCTATGTTTTTACATATATAACGCCTAAACTTCACTTTATACCACCCAATTCTTTCATTTATAACATCCATATGGTTGATATGTAAATCTTCAGTTTACACCTAAACTTCACTTTACACAGAGCGCAAATTAAAGAAAAATTCAATGTATTGAATTCATGAAGATAAGCATAGCTCACAACACAATTAGAAATTCACAACAGAAAAATTTAAAGCATGGTATGTATATCTTCCCTAAATAAGCAAAATTTGAAGTTTGGATGTTAGATGCGTAAATGCATAGGAATTAGGTGGTTGGTATGTAAAACTTCCAAATATAAAATAACCATACAAAGGAACATGATAATCATCATGCTTAACAACCATATGTGCCACATTTATGTTTCCTAAAAGAAGATCAGATGAATGCATCAACTATATGTACAACATATTTGAATCAGCAACACTATTTCTTAGCCTAAAAAATCTTTAAAAAACATCAGCTTTTCATTAGCAGTTGTGGAACTTTAAAACCACTGATCCAGTCACTCCATTTTTTTTCTTTATTCAAAACTAGACATCAGCTTTTTTTACAACCAACATTCAAATCACTGACAAACGTTCAATCTCACCACTGATAATTCATTAGCAGCAGCAAAAAAATGACAAGGAAACCAACCTTATTTATAGAAATGATACCAATTTGAGAAGACCTTCCAATGAAAACAACAAAGTTTCATGCTTAAAATTAAACCAAATCTTTCATAGCATTAAAAATAAACCAACTCTTGTACTGCCATCAGATCCTGCACAAATTAACCAATTTAGATTAACATAATTCCAATCAGTGGAACGAGAATTCGTTCAACACTACACCAATAATCAGTATGAGCAACATCAGAAGCAATAGAAATTATCATGAATTTGGCCCATATACCCCTTCAAAGCAAAACTCCACAAAAATATAAATTGCATCCAAGAAACAAAAGTTCCCAGTCATCAAACTGAACAAAATAACAAAATTGAATTTTAAAAAAAATGAGAGTGGTAGTATTATGAATAATATTCAGCTAATTAATTCTCAAATTCTCCATTCATAGGCCTACTATCTCATCAGTTATTCGTTTCCTCAGACCTGTCATCTCGCCTGCACCTTCCCTATCTACAGTGAAGGGTGAAGGCGGTGGAGGCCTCAGTCTCTTATTTTGTAAAAGACTGACCTAGACGGTATTCAAAGGTTCCACATGCAAATTTTCTTCATCCTCTTCTACCAAATGGAAGTCAATATCGCTACGGGAATGATGTCTTCTAATGTACTTATGGAGAGTCATTGTAGCAAAGACAATCTGTACCTGCTTGGAGAAATTGTAGGGAGGCATATCAAAGAGTATCACTAATTTCTTTTTCCACACACCAAAAGTTCTCTCAATGATACCACGTAGCAATGAATGTCGTTTATTAAATATTTTCTTTCTACCTCGTGTAACGTTGCTTGCACGTACAAAGTCTGGTATGTGATATCTCGTATCAGGAAACGACTTTATATACCCTCAGTGCAATGGGTACCAACATCGACCAAGTAGTATTTTCCTAATAAATTGAACAATTATTATTCAGTATTAAGTTCGTCATTCAATGAGTTCAATCCCAAAAATACCTGCAGGTGGATGTGGAAAGTAAAGTGTTCTGTAAGAAGAGAGCATATAAGAAAGAACTTATAATATATTTGATTTGGAATTCAAAGTCCTCCATATGTGTCATTTTTTCAACAATATGGAGATAAACGCCCAACCATCATCATATTGGAGCTTTGGTAAATCTTTCCAATGATTTCAATTCATTTTATATCATTGCAGGTAGAATGTGGGAGAAAAGAGCGGAGAAATATCCCCCACATAATCACACCAATTGATTTTCCTAACATCTTACAAGTAAACCTAACCGAATAAAGGATCCACGCCACATAATCATAACACTTCTCATGCATGTTTACCACAAATCAAAATTGTCATATGCAAATATAGTGTTCTGTAAGAAGAGAGCTCGAAATTGTCTTAGAGAAATAGAAATTTCGAAAGAAGAAACAAGGGAAGAAGAAACTTGCGCCAAAAACAGAGAAATAGAAGAGTTCACAGTGTTCTGGATTCGGCCTTGATAGAGGAAGAAGAAAGCCGGATTCGGCCCGACGCGTCAAAAGAAATTTTCGAAAGGCGAAGAGAGCTCGAAAACAAGGGAAGAAGATATGTTTAAGGTTACCTGCCTCGTGCTCCCTGGATTAGGCCCTGGTAGAGAAAGAAAAAAATCTGGGGTCGACGACACCAGGCGAGAAATGGCGAGACGGCGCGGGAATAGGGACGAGGGCAAAAACAGTATTTGTCGAGGGGAAAGCTGGGGTCGCGAGGTCGATCACGAGACCCGCTTTCCGCCCTTTTCAGATTTCTTCCGCCGCGAAGCTGCGAGCCAATTAATAACAGTTTGTTTTTTGTGGCCGCGACGCATCAAAAAAGCGGCCCCAAACAGATCCTTAGATAAATTACTTATGCAATTCAATATGAACAATAAATAATATTTATTACAACTATATTAAGAGAATTTAAAGGGACTACTGGAAAACTTATAATTAGATATAATACCAATACAACAATGACAATAAAGGGTATGTTTATCTCATAATAAATAAAAGTTCTTTAACTCGAAAAGAGCAGTAAAATTCTTAAAAGTTTTAATGGTTCAACCAGCGTCAACTTGTAAGTCTGACAAAAATAAAAATCCTCAATTATTAACAATGATGCATCTATATGAATTAAAATTGCTTATTTATTAAGTTAGGCTCAACTTCAACGGCTTTCAATAGTATTAATAGTATTATTTTCATTAACATAATAATATACATGGATTGATTTGAAATCAGGATTATACAAACATGAGAAAACTGCCGAGCAAATATTATAAATCTAATTGGTTTAACACTCCATGACAATAGTATTGAAAGACTGAAGAGTAAGTTAAATGAGAGGGGAGCTTACACTATCTCTTGGCTATAGTGAGTGACAAAATAGGGTGGATAGTTATGAGGTTGAGGGATAAAAGAGGTAAAGAAGAGAGGAGTCCTAGGTGGTTAAGAAGGGAGGATCGACAGTGACTTCAGTCCCCTAACTCATTGCCCCCTTAAATTGAGCAAAGAGGTGTAGCCAAACGAAATGGAAAGACGACAATCAAAGAGAACTGACAAAAAAAATAATAATAAGGAAAGGAAAATTTGTACGAGTCCCAACCGACCTTTGATATTACCCAGTGATTTAGGGATGAAATATTATAAGTTTAAAATATATTTTATAAATTTTATAACTAAAGTTTTTCCAATGTTTAACACTACACACTAGGTATTTTATGCAAGTGCACGTCTCATTCAAGTAAAATAACACTTTCATTAGTCCAGACTATCGATCCCACAGGGAATGTTGTTAAATTTTAAAAACTTTAAAGAAGTTCTAATTGAATAAAAAGAGTCTTAACATGGAAATAAGTTCGATTTAGGTTATGTTAGTGAATTCTACCAAATTATCACTGACTAAATAAAAATATGTTGAGATTTTCATACCTATTTTACACTGTTTTTGATAATATTGCACTTTAAAGAAAGGTACTTCTGATGTTTTGTTGCAAATATGATGAATTATGGTCATTGGAGCAAAAAGATGCAAAAACAGTGCAATTTGGAGCAAAAACAAGCAAGAAATGAAATTTTGCTTTGTCACATTTCGATAAGTCTTTCGATGCTTAATCTCTTTTACACTTCTTGCATATTTTTGAATGATATTACACTTTAATGGAATTTTGTTTTCATGTTTATTTTGTAGAGCTATCTGTTAGGAACACAATGCAACTGAAATGGGGCGAAACAGAGCTAAAACGGAGCCAAACGGAGCGAAATGGTGGAGCTGCGCAGTCCGCCCGTGCGGCCCGCGGGGGGGCCCAAAAGGGCGCCGACGGCGAGATTTACCCGAGAAGACCAAAAAATGACAGAAAAACTCGCCGACGGCGCCCCCGAGCCAGCCGAAGGCGCCCGAGAAGACTATGGACCTACTTTTGGCGGTTATGAGCCAAAATTCAATGTATTTGGACGCTTTTTGAAAGGGTTCTTGTGGTAACTCTTCAAACTTCATCCCTACACTTTAAAAGAACAAATTTAGGTTAGAAAAAAAGGGGTTGTGTGTGTGAGGAATGTTAGAAAAAGTGTGGAGAAAGTTTAGGGTTTTTAGAATAGGAGTAAAAATGTAGATTTCTACCATTTTGGATAGATTGGAGAGGAGATTTTGAGAGAATTTGTAAGGAGATGTTCTAGCATTGCATGGATCGACATGAGACTTTGTGGGAGAGATTTTTTTCTTTCTTTCAAGAGAAAAAGCTAAGTATTGTGCTCTTCATTATCTTATAGTTTTGTAAACACTTATCTAGTGGATTTGCTTTGATGAAATGAAGTTTTTCGTTGTGTTTTCTTCATGTTTTGTGATGTGTTTCTCTTACTCTCCCTTCTTGTTTGGAAATAGTGGTATGAGAAGATTATGTCGTTATTTTCATATAACTTTTCTTTTCTAATGAGTAGAATTCATGTTTAGGTTTTTATGATGCATGTTAGAAGTAGATTTAATTATAAATGTGATAATTTTTACTTGCACTTTATTTACATTACAATAAAGGTTTGTTGCAGTGTTAAAATTCATTGTAATTGCATTAAGACCCGAGAGGACTGTGTAATTCTCAACAAAGTAGAACCACATTCAGATTCTATGGATGATTAAGTTCATGGGAGTTCAGTGCAAATAAATAGAGAAATATACTTTGATGGGCGTAGAATTGGAGATTTTAGGGTGACAGACTAAAATCCCCAATTCAGTCCTATTGTTTGAATACTAAAGCGGAGATGTTAGCTCTCAGGCGAGGGGAACGTGGGAGCTTCGAAGTGAGAGCCAGTATCCTCCCAGCCTAGCCACAGATTCAGTAAACAAGCATAGGATTAGTCAATGTTCTTTATACCTGGACCAGAGAGTAAAGAATATAATTGCTCCTATTTGACACATACAATATTTAATGCATCACATTCCTTTACATTATCCAATTCATTACATAAGAATAGTAGTTTTTAATATATCAAAATTCTCCAAACCAATTCATCCAAAAAGAGTTATCTTTAGAATTAATATTTGCATTTAGTTATAGTTACTATCTTTACATTTAACTCTTACATTTAGGAGTAGTTGCTAGATAAAATATCATTTTAATCGACATTTAACACTTGTATTTAGACTAAGGGCCTCTTACCTCGCTTCCCTGTGAGATCGATAAATGGGACTCCACTAGAGCCCTGCCTTACTTGAGTGATATGTATACTTGCTTTTGAAATTGTGACTTTACAAAATCATTATAAATATATAAATGTGGGTTCATAAATTCTTGCATATTAAAAGTTGCATCAAGTTTTTGACACCGTTGTCGGTGATTTAAATCTTCTAGCAGCGGTATCAAATTCTTGTATTTTTAAGCTTTATATAAAGTCGTTGTCAACCACTAATCTTATAAATTCACTGCAAAGCTAATTTTATTAAAGTTAAGTAAGTTAAAAGAATTCAAGCAATGAAAATTATCCTCTCCTTGCAATGAAATTAGTAATTTGTTTAAGAATGAAACACTTAAAAATTATGTTTGAATTTGTGACAAATATGAGCATTCATTTTCTTTACCCATTTCCAAGTGCATAAAGAAATTAGGTTTAACTATATAAGTGTTTCTGTCTGTCACCCAAGAAATCTCCAAGTTACCCCCATTAAATTTATCTCCATATATATTTGCACTGATCTACGGATTGCTTTTCCTTCACACTATAGAGCAACGTGGTTTCTACTAGTTGTTAGAGCCATAACCTTCCCGGATCAATATGGATTCACAATAGATTTTAATATACTAAATGGTCAGATCGATATCTAAATAAAGCGTGAAGCAAAAAAAATTACAATAATAATTGATAATTCATCCTAAATGTATCCACATACCTACACATATTTTCAATTCAACACAAGAGGAAAGTACAAACGATCTAATCACAATACATGGAATAAACACAATAACACATCATCTTATAATAAAGCAAGGTCATACAAAATGAGTTTTTATTAATACAATACAATATGAGTTCACAGCCTTAATCTAAAAGGGTCATGAAACCACAATTATCTTTCCCTCATCTTGGGGATGCTGATATTACTCTCCCTACTCTTTAAAGACCACTTGATCACTCACTTCCTCTATTGCACTCGACTTAATGAAGGACAAAAATTAGCTCATCGGAAAACTGGAAGCAATGTGCCCATCACCATGGTATTTGGAGCATTTTCGTATTAGAACTATATTGGGGGTGCTTCTCTTCTTGAGCTTCTTCTCACTTTAGGCAACTCTATCATTCTTTTTACTGGTTCTCTCAACTCATATGGGTGTGTTCCTACTGATATCCCCAACTATACGGTGATTGTCTAAATGGTAGTAGGTGTCTGCTCTGCTTCTGTTGTCTTGTCACCTTCATGCCACCTTCCGTGCGAAGGTCAAAACATCTCACAAAGACAAGTAAGACTATAACTAAACTACGTTGTTGATAGTGCGTGTCAAACCTCTCAAGTATCTGACTATTGTGCGCTCATCTGGCTTCATCAGATACATTTTAGCTTATGTTGCATAAAATTTGATGTGCACTATTCCACCTATAGGTCCCTCATCTGCACGTGATGAAGCCTCAAAAAAATATCCCGATAAGGTGTGAGGGTAGGTATTATCACTGTAAATCCCTCTTCATTTTCTCCCAGCTTGTAATCTTGCTCCGTTCATGCTTATTTTCATCCCTCTTCAGGTTCTCCCAACACAATGAGAAGTTCTTCTTCAACTGATAACAACATGCTTCACTTTTTGATCATCTGATACCTTCTTATATTCAAGAACTTTGTCAACGGTCAACAACCACTATATGCAGTTATCTAGATTCATTCTCTCATCGATATCTAATAAGTATACTTTCACTCTAAAGTCTCTGTATCCTCCAATATACACTTCATCTCTCAACCTCTTATGATATTGAATCTCAAAGCGACGCGACCTATCTTCTTCTATATGGAATCATCCCCACGAAAGGGATTCATTTGGTCCTCTCTCTCTCCTTATCAGATCTCACTATCATGCTCAATGATGACTTCTCCATGGACCCTTTCTTCAATTTCATTGTACTATTGTGGCGCTCAGCGAAGTTGTTACTTATCTTTTCCATGGTTAATTTCTAATTGACATTCGACACTGGTCTCCTCTGTAGTACGGTTAGGGTTTGAGTTTGGGTATGTGGGATATGGCATATTAATGTTATATCAGGAAGGAAAGAAAAAATTTTAGGTTTGACAGGGGGTTTAGGTAACGGGAGGATATAATTGGGGTTAGAGTAACTATGATACCAAATGATACTAGAATTAATCCAAACAACAATGTACGGTTAGGGTTTGAGTTTGGGTATGTGGGATATGCATATTAATGTTATAATTTTAGGTTTGACAGGGGGTTTAGGTAATAGGAGGATATAATTGGGGTTAGAGTAGCTATGATACCAAATGATACTAGAATTAACCCAAACAACAATAAAAAATGCAAATTTTATTATTGAACTCAAATAAAGATGACAACCAAAGCACTCAAAATTAGAAAATGAAAAAAAATAAAGAAGTTAAACTCAAACTACAATTTAGGTCGAGGCAACGATGTTGTGATTTAAGAAAAAGTAATAGGTAGGGAGGGGGGTTGGTTGGATGGTAGTTAGTAGAGGAAATGCCATGATAGTGGTTATAAGAATAGTTGTGATAGGGCGATAGGGGTTTGGAAGGGGCGACAGTAAGTTGGTAGATGACTGGAAGGGGGCAACAACTTGGTAGGGGGCGGCTGGAAGAAACAAAAAAAAGGTGATAGGCAACTAGTGGTATCAGTGCAAGAAAATAATAAAGATTATTTCTTGGTGGTTGTAACAAATACTGAGCGATAACAGAAGAAAGACACATTGGAATTTGTTAGCCAAGGGCAATCACTGGCTCAAAATCAGATGCAGTCGGAGCACCACCCGTCCTTGGATGCAACCCTACGAAGAATGACTTGGAAACTACGAAAGCTACCCTGAACAAATTGATAAAAACTAATTCTAAAGCCTCAGGAAATAAATTATATATTAATATGATAACTAGGAGTGAGCAAATAGAACAGACAAACTCCATAACCACAAAATACCTAGATAAAATCAGTCCAAGAATGAATCGAGTTCCTACTTCCGTCATGAGAACTCCCGAGCGGGAGACATCCCGCATCACCCAATGTCATCCTGCGTATACCAATACAAGTTCCTTGTTATTTTTTAATCTTGAGCTTCTGAAACTCTTGGGCGGCTCTTGAATATCAACATAGTCACCAAATCTATGTTCTAGATTCCTTCCTTTTAATTATTTATCAACCCCTCCTCCTTATATGTCTTCTTCATTCACTAAGAGATTATAGTTTGGCCTCTTTTGTGAAATAGAATTCATCAATTTACAATGAACTCAACCTGGCTGTTTTATTGTTAAAATGTTGATCCTAGAAGCCAAACAATCAATCGATGAAATACATCATTCTGTGACAATAGAACGTGTTCATTGGTGCACGTGTTTAACAAATATCCATAAGGTAGAAGTAAATTGATCTCTAAACACTAAGGCTCATCGATCTCATCGTGGCTTATATCGACATAAGTGATGAGACAATCCATGTTAGAGCAGCAAAAGGGGAGGGAACAATTGATGATTTGTTGGTAGAAAATGATCTAGGAAAAGTGAATTTGGTGGTCAACAAAGGGGTTGAGAATGGCCAGAGGCAATAGTTAGTTTTATTGTATTAATCAAAAATATAAGTCATATATTAGTAAATACAGAATTTTAGGTGCGAGATACTAATATTTTAATGTTTATAACATTCTAAATGTAAAAAGCCAAAAAAAAAAAAATAATTTGGCTTTCCACTCAGTGTAAAATATTTCGATCAGACATCCCAGACGGCTACCATCAGATGCCACGTCGTCATATATCTCATCCGCTGCTAGATGATGATTAATAATTAACCGTCCAAACATGCAGAAGAAATATTTTTTCCCGCATAAAAAGCTTAGAATCAAATAAAGTCAAATTCGTTCAATCTGATTCTGACTGTGAATTAAAGTTCGTAATTGATATAATTGCATTAAATTAAAAACATAATATTTTGTAGCTTCGTCAACCTCGTTTAAACTTCTCTCACTCTAAACTCTAACGGTTCAGTCGGGGCAAGGCCGCAGGGAAGGCCACACATTTGTGCAGTCTCCACAGATGGGACAGCCTGGTAGAAGTACAATGTACAGGAGCTGCTCGCTGCTGAAGCCAAAAATGAAGATAAGAGGGAGAAAGAGGGAGAAAGAGGGAGAAAGAGGCAAGAGGTAGTAGGTAGGTGTAGCCTGGCACTCTCTTCTTCTTTTTTTTTAAACCAGTAAATAATTAGCTTCAGTGATCTCTCACTTTTTTCCAAAATCCAACTCACTTTCTCTGCGTTAACTGGCAACTCTGCTCTGTTCCTAGGGTTTCTCCGGCTTCGCATGTGGTCGCCGGGTGACGCTTAGCTCCGGCAGCATCTCGCTTCAAGGCGGCGATACTACTCGAGGCCCAATGCCGAAGATTTTCGGCTTCTCTCGCCGTCGAACGAAGCTCGGGAGGTCAGCTCTTCTGCTTCTGCTCCGCGACCCCGTCCAATCCGCTTTTATTTCTACTTTTCCTGTCTCTCTCCTTTTTTTTTTCTTATTGCGACCAGCTCAGCCCGACCGTGTACGCTTTATTAAGCTTTTTGTCCCCAAAAAGATGGCTCCTTTTAGGGTTTCTTACTTTTAATCTACTATTACGAAATGATGCCTTCTTTTCACTTTAAAATGCGATGTGCAGGCTAAAAGTGGTGGATCCTTCTCAGGGGACCCTGAGCCCCGTCTGCCCCACGAAAAGCTCTTCGCAGATCAATGTGAGTGGAATTTTTTTCTTAATTTTTATTTTTAATGAGTTTTGATTTGCTATTGTGGATTTTTTAGAGCCTTCTTAGGTTTTTATCTCGTGGGTGATGGATAGGAAGACGCTGTGGTTGGAGCGTCAGCTAGTGGCCGGTCGGAGGAGCATTACTGCGACTGCTCTATGGCTGGATTGGGCATCAGTAAGTGTGGCTTGGAATGTTCTGAGAACTGGACGGTGTTGCCAACAACAGGGGACAAACCAGCTCCTAGATTTCAAGTAATGTGTCTTCTTCTTGCTTCTTTTTTATGCTGGTATTCATTTAATATGAGGATTATGTACAAAACTGTCTGTAATCGGCACTCCGGATTGAAAAGTGCAGTTTTTTTTCAAGTTTTATATCCATTTAGCTGGTGGTTGAGCATGCAAAATTAAAGGCTAGAGTTCCTTTATATAGTATATGTGGCAGGGCTAAGAATTCTAAGGACAACAAAGATTTGAAATCATAAAGTTTTGTAAAAGGATTATAATGTTGTCTGCAATCCTTTATGGATCATAGTTGCTCCTTGCCATAAGAAGTCAATTTGTTGGGTTTGTTCCTTTTCATGAAGAGGCAGCATTTGTAAACGTTCTTTTTAATTATTCATTGGTTTCATCTCATCAAAATCATACATGTCAATAGCACCTGATGGCGTGTGACATGGTGCACCCTCGATGCTATATTCATGACTCGATACAGGGGTTTAAAATGGCTCAATACTGGTGGCTGAAAATAGTGCGAGCTATTTGTGCTATTCATGGGAAATAACAAATTGCACATTTCCCCCATCATGCACATTGTTATGATTAAATTCATTTTTAATATTGTGAATAAGTTATTTATTAATATGTATTTATTTTTTCTTAATTTCATTTTATTTTGATTAGGTTTTAGATTATAGTTTTATTTTGATTTATGAAATTGGATTGGATGCATGCGAGCGTTAGGTCTCCACCTCCTTCATCTTGACTTTGACACTGCCCTATCTCACTTTATCTCGGTCTCTCTTTTTCTAGGCCTCTTTTTATCTCGGTCTTAAATTAACCTATCCCTCCAAGTTTGCACAAGAACTTCCATTTGCAACTAGGGCTGTAAACGAGCCGAGCTTGAGCAAGCCCAGGCCCAACTCGTGTTCGGCTCGCTCGAATCTGGCTCGTGTTCGAAATTGGCTCGTGTTCGAAATGGCTCGTGAACAGTGTGTTCGTGTTCGGCTCGAATTACATTTTCATGTTCGTGTTCGGCTCGAAAATGACTCGTTAGAATATAAAATTATTTAATAAATATTATTTTT